CACTGTTCAATAAACCCAGAGTTTCTGTCAGCTGCGCTGCTTGTGTCCTTTCACTTTTCTGGACACTCCACTCAAAGTGCTTTCCAGGTAATGGGGACTCCCCTCCACCACCACCAGTGTGCAGCCCCACCTGGATGAGGCGACGGCAGCCATAGTGCACCAGTACACTCCCCACACACCAGCTCTCAGTGGGGAGGAGAGCAGAGTGATGAAGCCAGTTAAGTGATGGGGATTATTAGGATGCCATGACTGGTAAAGCCCAGGGGGAAATTTGGCCAGGACACCGGGGTAACACCCCTACTCATTCTGAGAAACACCCTGGGATTTTTAATGACCACAGAGAGTCAGGACCTTGGTCTCATCCGAAGGATATTGCCTTTTTACAGCATGGTATCCCTGTCACTATACTGGGGCATTAGGACCCACACACACCGCAGGGTGAGCGCCCCCTGCTGGCCCCACTAACACCTCTTCCAGCAGCAGCCTTAGCTTTCCCAGGAGGCCTCCCATCCAGGTACTGACCAGGCTCACACCTGCTGAGCTTCAGTGAGTTGCAGGGTGATATGGATGCTGGCATTTGTTGGAAGAACACTCAAGAGATCACTTCATTCAAGTGCAGTTACATTTAACTCACCTGGGTTTCTGGTTACAAGTGCTACAATCATGCAGCTGACTAATTAGACCAGCTGTGTAACAGAACTGGAGTGGAATAAAACAAAGACAACACCAGGTCCTGCAGGACTGAGCAGGACAGCTCTGGAGTAAAGGAGGACTTTGCCACAGTGATCCTGGTCCTGAGGGGTCAGTGTGTCTGCAGGGTGTCCAGCCCCGGTCCTGGGGGGTCAGTGTGTCTGCAGCATGTCCAGTCTTTGTCCTGGGGGGTCAGTGTGTCTGCAGGGTGTCCAGTCGTGGTCCTGAGGGGTCAGTGTGTCTGCAGGGTGTCCAGCCCTGGTCCTGGGGGGTCAGTGTGTCTGCAGGGTGTCCAGTCGTGGTCCTGGGGGGTCAGTGTGTCTGCGGGGTGTCCAGTGCAGGCCCTGGGGGGTCAGTGTGTCTGCAGGGTGTCCAG